AGGCTCACAGCCACCGCAGCCTCGACCTGCTGGGCTCAGGTGATCCTTCTGCCCCAGCCTTCCAAGTAGCTGGGACTACAGGCATGTGCCACCACCCACAGCTAATTTTTCTTGATTTATTGTAGTGACAAGGTCTCTCTAAATTGCCCAGGCTGTTCTTAAACCCCTGAGTTCTAGCAATTATCTTGCCTCCCAAAGTGCTGGAAATTACAGATGTGAGGCACCGTGCCCAGCAGGGAATTTCTTGAAGTTTCTCCTACATCCCATCTACGGCTTTCAAATGCTTAATGGGGTCGTTAGGATAGCATCCCAGATATCTATGAATGCCACCTTATTCAGTTCCTGTTCTGGACACGCAGTGAGCCCGTGACTATTGCATGTCAAGTGGCTGGAACCAATCAGCTCATCTATGGCTTTCTCAGAAGCCAATCAGAATCTAAGGAAGTGACCTCACCCAAGGGAGAGATGTGTGGGTGAGAAAGCATCTCTCAGAGCTGAGTGTCCCTAAGTCACTCCCCTCCTCCCCACCCTCCTTACTTCCTGTAAAACAACACCGCCTACTCCCCCTCCCCCAAGGAAAGGGAGTGAGAAAGGCTAGCTAAATTCCACAAAAGGAAGAACCAAAAGAGAAACTGCAGCTCAGCCCCAGTTTCCTGTAAGCTGAGGATAGGATATTTAGGGGGCTCCCTCTTCACAGACATAACTTTCAAAGTGGGGTCTCCAGGGCCTGGAAGAGGAGGGAGTATGCCAAATGAGAGTCAGCTTCTCCTCTCTCCGCACCTGGCTTTCTTGACTCTCCCTACAAAAATAGCTGTAATCATTCTTTGTAAATAAGGACAACACCAAGGTCAAGTATGGGAAAGAGAGGGCCTGTGTCCTTGTGAACATGTGTGAACAGAGACAAATGTTCCTGTGGCCTGAGGACCAGAGGCTCAGAAGCCAGCTGGTCTGCAAAAGGCATGAGCTGTTCTTTATAACTTACCCTGCACAGCCCTACAGATGAGGTCCTGAATGTTCCCTGGCAGGGCTAGATCGTGAGCATGTGTCCCACCACGGGGGTAGGAGGGCAGAGACAAAGGACAAGAGGGCTGTAACTCTCCACTGTGTCACAGTGGACTCTGCTCAGCTAGGCACCCCCTTCATTTTCCTAGCCCTACCCACCGGGCCTCACCCTGGACATAGAGTCAGATAAAATCACTTTATTTAAAAATATAAAACTGGACTTACTCCTCCTAACTGCTCCCACCCCCAATTATCTCCAGAAAGACCTGTAAAAGTTGGGTAGGGACATATGTACCGCTGTCTCAGCTCTTACACTTCCAGTTCTTCTTTCAATTCTCTTTTCTCCCTTCATACAGTTAAGACATTTGTCCTTTGCACTTTCCCCAGGATTACCAGGGGCCATACAAGGGTGGAAGGAAGGGAAGGGTAGAAAAGAAGCTAGCTGTCATCATTCTCTACTCCTGTCTCGAGTGAGCAAACAGGTTACCTGAGCTCTGACCAAATGATCTGCTTGTCCACAAAACTGTATAATAGGGTCGGTTACTCTCTGCATCCCCAAATCAAGAAAGATATGAGGGTCCAAGGAGCTGTTTAGGTTTTTTCTTCAGTATATAGCCTCATCCATATTGTCATCACTGTCACCCCCAAAGTCCTCTCCATTGTCAAAATATGACATGATGTAATCAGTTTCCTGCAATGGAAAAAAGAAGTAAAAGTCAGGCCTGTGTTGGCATTCTTTCTCCCTGTGCACCAGGCCCCTTCCCTCCCAATCACACCATTCCAGGCCCAGGGCATCCCTCTAGCTATAGCTCATTTTTGAGAAGAGCCCGGGGACTGATGAAGTAGGGGGAAGCTCCTAGTCTCTGGGGCCACTTTCTTCTTTGGTCCGCTAACCCTCTGAGGAGACCATCCGTGTGTACAGAGTTGAGATCCCCAGAGCTTATGAGGGGAAGGGAGAAGCACTGAGGTGGAAGGAGGTCCCCTTCACCTCTTCATGTTCTTCTTCATCATACTCCTCTTCTTCCTCCTCTTCCTTCTCTTCTTCTTCTTCTTTCTCCTCATCTTCCTCTGAAGTCACTTCTTCCTCCTTCTTCTCCAGGGTCTCAAGTGAACATGAATGGGAAGAGAAACTCTGATTCAGCTCAGAGGGAAAAATTGAAGCACACATGGGTCAAGAGAGAGGAAATGCACGTGAGGCTCAGGAGGTCCCTGAGCACACTTTCCCCTCACCTCTAGTTTCTGTATTGTTTCCTCCTTATCTTCTGAGGTCTTAGGAGGCCTCTTGGGGAGTAGAATGGTGATCCCTGGTGGAGGGGGGGATCAAAAGGTGAACCATCAGGGATCTAATCTTGGAACTCCCCCCCCCTTCTAGCCCATCCCCTGGAGGCCCTGCTGCAGCCCCAGTCCTGGACTTCCTTGGAACTTTCTACCCTGACCTCCATGCAGAGAATGTGTCACTCTGCTGCCCTCATGTGGCCATTATTACATCCAACAACAGCACTTGGACTGGGTAGGAACTGGGAGAGCAGGTGAGATCGCCAGCAGCCTTGGTCTTCTGGCTGATGGGGTTGACTCTCTTCTCCCTTTTTCCAAATACACTCACGCTCCTTCTGCAGCTTCCGCACTCTGATCTTTAGCTCCCGGGGTAGACGCCGCCAGTCTGGGGACAGTGGGAAATGGGTATCAATAGGACCCTGGGGTTGGGTGGAATCTCCTATGAATGATGACTGATTAAAATAAAGGAGAAGTGAGGGTTTTAAAGGAGAGGAAGGAGGGGATTGGATCAAAGTTGCTCAAAGCAAAACTGTGGCTTGGATGCCTCCTGAGGAGTGGGCGTTATTTAATAGGTTTTCCAGGGAGAGTCTGAGAGTGTCCTGGAACACAACTAAAGCTCTACTTTGCAGATACTGGATAGGGGGGTGGGGATGTTGGGGATGGTGGTGGTGGCTTGAAGCATCACAAGCACTTGAAAAAAGGGCAGTCAATGCAAGGGCTCACCACTTACCAGGGTTCCAATCGATGGCATTGTCAATTGGCCCTGACATCTGATATTTGTCTGAGTAACGTTCCACATCTGAGGGGTCAGAGGTGAAAGGTCAAAGTGTTATCCCTTCAGTGTCCTAGAACAGGGTTGTTCCTGAGGGTCCAGCCCTCTCAATACTCAGGAATTATCTTCCCCTCACCCCAAGCCCAGAACACAGGGGGTCAGCTTCAGTGAGGACTTCATCACTCCAACTTGCTCCTCAAGTCACTCAAAAGTACGAGTTTTTTTCTCCCTTAGCTCAGAGGCATAGTTATGTTGAGAAGTGTAGTGGAAGTATACTAGGGAACAAGAACCCAGGGTTTTAGCCATCTCTTTACTCCTTGTTTACAGGGTTAACTCAGGTAAATTTTCATTTCTCTAAGCCTCAGCTGGTTGTCAATATACTGAAATACTGTACTTCCACACCAGTTAGTAAATATCCACTGTCCCAAGTCCCCCAATAGCACTCCCTTCTCTAGTCCTGCCTGGTCTTCCTGACCTCCCCATGACCCACTCACTAACCAAAGGGTTAATACTTTACTTAGGTGGGGTTCTCTGAGATCTGGCCCCGGTCCCCTTCTGACTGGTTGGTGCCTCTAATAACCAAATTGCTAAAATGTTTAATACATCCTTATTCATATGTATGAAACACAATCTTTCTTTTTTCTGAGTTGGAGTCTCACTCTGTTGCCTAGGTTGGAGTACGGTGGCACGCTCAAGGTCACTGCAGCCTAGACCTTCCGCCTCAGCCTTCCATGTAGCTAGAACCACAGGTGCGCACCACCACACCCGGATAATTTTTTGATGTATTTATAGAGATGAGGTCTCACCAAGTTGCCCAGGCTGGTCTCAAACCCCTGGACTCAGGCAATCCTCTTGCCTCTGCCTCCCAAAGTGCTGGTATTACAGGCATGAGTCACTGCACCCGACTGAAATAAGATCTTAATACTTAACCCCCTACTGTCCCAAGACTATTTTCAGACTCAAAACAAACCTTGAATACTGAAGCATTTCAGATACAGGAGTAATTACAAAGATCCCCATAGTTAGTGTACTTCCTGTGCCTCTTGACCCCAGTGGTGCAGAGTACAGGGCACAACCCCTGGAAGGTACTCAGAACACAATGCTAGCATTCCAACTGACCTCTCTTGGGGACAGCAGGCCGGATGAAGTAGGGGAGCTGCCTCATGGCTCCTCGTAGCTCCTGCTTCAGTGCCAGGACATATTCCCCTTCCTCTCCTGAGGGTAGAGGCACTGGGCGGAACTCCAAGGGCTAAAGAGGCAGGGGCAGTGGTCAGTTCAGAGGGAAAATGCTGTAGTACAAATCTAGAAGGACTTCTCCCAGGTTAACCCAATGTTCTCACTGAACAGAGGGCTACAAGAGAATGGAGGAAGCAACACAGCATTTTGAAAGCTGGGGCCCTGAGAGTATGAGAGTAAGGGTAGACACTTCTTTGCTTTGAAAACATCTCTTGTCAGTTAGGAGTATAGAGAGACAGGGAGGGGCAAGATGAGGATGGTTATATGAGGGGGGACCAAAAAAACCCTGGAATTTATTTATTAAAAGTGGTGAATGGTCTGGGTGTGGTGGTTCATGCCCATAATCCCAGCACTTTGAGAGGCTGAGGTGAGGGGATTGCCTGAGTCCACGGGTTTGAGACCAATCTGGGCAACTTAGCGAAACCTCATCTCTACAATAAATCAAAAAATTAGCCAGGTGTGGTGGCGCATGCCTGTAGTTCCAGCTACTTACAAGGCTAAGGCAGAAGGATAACCTGAGCCCAGCAGGTTGAAGCTGTGGTGGCTGTGCACTCCGGCCTGGGTGACAGTGAGACTCCAAATTTAAACACACACACACACACACACACACACACACACACAAAGTTGTGGATGTATTCTTACATGTCCAAATTTCAGTTGCCTTCAAATTTGATGCAATACACCTACCGAGGTGCTTCCCCACTGCTCAAAACAACTTTTGAAGGCATCAATTTTGATACCTTTTAAGTGCTTCTGCTCTTTTTTGTTTCACTTCTTCCACATTGGCAAAATGTTTCCCTTTGAGGACTTTGTTCATCAGGTGAATAGGGAGGGTGGGGCCTGAGGGTCATGCTATTTTTGGTGGAAAAATGCTGAACTCTCAGTGCAGTGTGAGCAGGGGTGCTTGTAAATCACCAGTCATGAAACAGGCAAACGTACTGCAAGAACCCTCAAGAAAAAGACATTCACTGAAGCAAAATGTAGTCTCTCACAACACTAGCTGGTACACTGATGCCAATGGGTTCCCAGAACACTTACCTAGCGGCAGAAGCCTATCCTACAAAAGGTCCACTCTCTAGAAGATAATTCCAGGTTTTTTGGGTCTCCCCTCGTATGTTGGTCCAGGAGGAATCCAAGATCATATAGGGTCAGCCTTGGCACATGGGAGTCTTGAGGAGAGAAGATACTCACAGGGAAGAGTGGAGAAGGCTGCAGGGTTGGTGGAGGCAAAGCATCCCCTTTCCCAATGCCCACGGCTTCCATGTTGAAGGTCAACTGGCCCCGGCCACGACCCCGGCCCCCACCCCGGCTGGCCATGGTGGAGGGGGCCTGGGTATTCAGAGATCCAGTGAGAAAAATCTGATTAAAAAACAGAAAGGAAGTACAGTTGAATGGACAGTAAGCCAAGGAGGTACAAGACACCTAATCTCCTTTCCCTAGGATTTCAAAAGCCAAAGTCATTCAACAAATTTTGACTGAGAAGGCACAGTGCCAGGCAGAGAATTTAACAATTTAGTAATACAAACATGGATGAAATGTGGTCCCAGCAGGACAGATACTTACAATATAATATAGTTGTAGCACCAAGGATAAAATGATTAAACCCTTGGAAAAAACTTCTGTATATCTCTGAGACGATTGGTTTATCACTATCTGCATTTCTACATATGACGTTTGAATTTTTTTCCTCCCTGGTCTTCCAAACCCAACTAAGCCCCAATTCAATCCAATGCTATGCATTACAGCAAAATATTTATTAAGCATAAAAAAGGTAGTATATCAGGCATTGTGGGAGCAGCACAGGGATGAGTCACCAATTTCATTGTCAACCAGAGGAAAAGAGACATTACAATCAATCTGATCTTTTAAAATACCACTTGGAGTTAGGAGGACCCTTAAAGGTCATCAAAACCCCCTTCCAGTACAGGACTCCACACTGTAAATCGTCAATTATTCAGCTTCTGATGGCATTTTCCTAAAGAGAGTGTGCGTATTCCCCCTCAAGACAGTTCATTCCACTGTGATCAACTCTGATGAAATTTTTTTTTTTTTTTTTTGAGCTGGATTCTCACTCTGTGTCGCCCAGATTGGAGTGCAGTGGCATGCTCCCAGCACCGTAGCCTAGACCTGCTGGGCTCTAGCGATCCTTCCACCTCAGCTTTCCAAGTAGCTGGAACTAAGGCGTGCGCTACCACGCCTGGCTAATTTTTGATTTATTATAGAGATGAGGTCTCACCAAGTTGCCCAGGCGGGTCTTGAACCCGTGGGCTCAGGCAATCCACTCACCTCAGCCTCCCAAGGTGTGGGATTACAGGCTGAGCCACCGAGCCCGGCAAATTTTTTTTTTTTTTGAGTTGGAATCTCACTCTGTTGCCCAGGTTGGAGTAAAGTGGCAAGCTCACGGCCACTGCAGCTTTGACCTGATGGGCTCAGATGAGCCTTCCACCTCAGCCTTCCAAGAAGCTGGAACTACAGGCATGCGCTACTCCGCCCAGCTAATTTTTGGATTTACTGTAGGGATGAGGTCTGGCCAAGTTGCTCAGGCTGGTCTCAAACCTGTGAGCTCAGTCAATTCTCTCACCTGGGCCTCCTAAAGTGCTAGGATTATAGGCATGAGCCACCGCGGCTGGCCCAAATCTTATGAATTTGAAGTTCCTCCTACTGAACTAAACTCTGTCTCTTAATCACCGTTCCTGAGGAGCCAGTCAGAGGCAGCTAGGATGGGAAATAAAATCACCAAATGAAAAGGAAACTTGAAAGTAATGACATTCCAGTAGCAAGAGCACACCTAGCACCCACATCTTGATTTTTTTTTTTTAGTTGCAGTCTCACTCAGACTGGAGCGTAGTGGCCATTCCCAGCCACCGCAGCCTCAACCTGCTGGGCTCCAGTGATCCTTCCGCCTCAGCCTTCCAAGTAGCCAGAACTACAGGCGTGCGCTACCATGCCTGGTTAATTTTTTATTTATTGTAGAGACGAGATCTCACAAGGTCGCCCAGGTGGGTCTCAAACCCACGGGCTCAGGCAATCCTCTCGCCTCGGCCTCCCAAAGTGCTGGGATTACAGGTTGAGCCACTGAGCCCGGCCCACATCTTGATTTTTAATACTATTTTTCAATAAAAGGAACCAGAGCTCCTTGTAGAAATGACTGATTCTAGGACAGGGCAGAACATATACAAGATGAGACAGGAGCATATTGCGGTGCCAGCAGTAAGGAGGTGTTCAAAACAAGAACCACATTCACATATTGATGGTGCTATGTCAAAGGGGCATGAGAGCCAACTGAAAGAGTTCACAATGGCCAAGACTGGCACAATTTGAGCAACAAAATAAAGTAGCATTGGATTATAGTTTAAAAACCTAAGACAAATACTCATGAGTCCATAGTGATATGAATAAATGAATCAATTAATACATGAGGGAGAAGAGATAAATCTCTCATGCAGATTTCCAAATAAATTATGTAGATTCTCCGCTTTAAAAGGGGAGGAATTGGCTGGGCATGGTGGCTCATACCTGTAATCCTAGCACTTTGGGAGGCAGAGATGAGAGGATTACCTGAGCCCAGGGGTTTGAGACCAGCCTGGGTAACTTGGTGAGACCTCTTCTCTATAGTAAATCAAAAAATTAGCTGGGTGTGGTGGCATGTGCTTGTGGCTCCAACTACTTGGAAGGCCGAGGCAGAAGGATCACCTGAGTCTAGCAGGTAGAGGCTGCGGTGGCCAAGTGCATGCCACTGCACTCCAGCCTGGGCCACAGAGTGAGACTCAAAAAAAAAAAAAAAAGAGGGGGAGGAATAAAACTATCCATTCCTTAAATGTGTATAGGGAATTTTATCCAATACAATATTGAAAATCAAGGGGGAATATTTTTAAAGCTGGAGACCAAACACTACTTCAGCCAGGTGACCAAGGTCAACATCAATAGTCACAAATTATGTTGACAGTATGTGCCCTTAATATTATATAATGAAACGGCTGGGTGAGGTGGCTCATTCCTGAAATCTCAGCACTTTAGGAGACTGAGGCAGGAAGACCACTTGAGGCCAGGAGTTTGAGACCAGCCTGGACAGCATAGTGAGATCTTGTCTCTACAAAATTTTTTTTAAAAATTAGCTGGGTGTGGTGGTGCATACCTGTTGTCCCAGCTACTAGGGAAAGTGAGGTGGAAGGTTCTCCTGAGCTCAGGAGGTGGAGGCTACAGTGAGAGATAATCATGCCACGATACTCCAGCCTGGGCAACTGACCAAAAAAAAAGTTATATAATGAAATGGTACTTAATCTCTGTGATAATCATCCCAAAAACCCATAGACCCAGTCTAATAATGAGAAAAACATCAGACAAATTCCAACAGAGAGGCATCCTACAATATACCTGACTCTTGAAAACTGTCAATCACTGTCAATCACTCTTCAAAACTGTCATCACAAGCAGGAAAGTCTGAGAAACTTAAGAGTAGCCAAAGGAGACATGGCAACTGAATATCACATGGTATCCTGGATGCCTGGATGTGATTCAGGAAAAAAAAAAAAGAACTTTGGTAAAAACCAAAGAGATCTGAATTAAATATGAACCTTAGTTCATAATAATGTATCTTGCCTGAGCCCGCGGGTTCGAGACCAGCCTGGGCAACTTGGCAAGACCTCATCTCTACAATAAATAAATTTAAAAAAAAAAAATGGATGACAGAGTGAGACTCCAACTCAAAAACAATAATAATGTATCAGTATTGGTTCATTTATTGTAACAAATATACTATTCTAACATACAATGTTAATAATAGGGAAAACTGTGTGCCAGGGACATATGGGAACTTTTGGTATCTGCTCAACTTTTCTGTAAATCTAAAACTATTCTAAAATATAAAATCTATTAATTAAAAAAAACTCAAGTAGCAATTTAATATTCACAAAAGATTAGTTGGTAAAAAAAAGATTTAGGTTGAGGTGAGCAGACTGCTTGAGTTCAAGAGTTAAGAGACTAGTCTGGGCAACATAGTGAAACGTCATCTCTACAAAAAATCAAAAAAATTTGCCAGGTGTGGTAGCACATGTCTGTAGTCCCAGCTATTTGGGATGCTGAAGGCAACCCCCTCCCACTCTGGGAGTTTTTCTGTCCTCAAAAAATCCTGAGAAAGAAAGAGAGAAAGAGAGAAAGAAGAGAGAGAGAGAAGAGAGAGAGAGAAAGAAAGAAAGAAAGAAAGAAAGAAAGAAAGAAAGAAAGAAAGAAAGAAAGAAAGAAAGAAAGAAAGAAAGAAAGGCCAGGCCGAGTGGCTTACACCTGTGATCCCAGCACTTTGGGAGGTGGAGGCGAGAGATTGCCTGAGCTCAGGGGTTGGAGACCAGCCTGGGCAACATGGCAGGACCTCGTCTCTAAAATAAAAAAAAAAATCAGCCAGGTGTGGTGGTGCATGCCTGTGGTTCCAGCTATTTTGAAGGCTGAGGTGGAAGGATCGCCTAAGCTCAGCAGATCAAGGCTGCAGTGGTGTGAGCGAGTCGCTGCAATCCAGCCTGGGTGACAAAGTGAGACTACGACTAAATAAATGAGTAAGTAAGTAAATAAATAAATGAATAAGTAAACAAACAAGATAATTAATCAAAATAAAATAAAAAATATATATAAAAAAGAAAGATCACCTGAGACCAGGAGATCATGTGATCATGCCACTATACTCCAGGCTGGGTGACAGTGTGAGATTTTGAAATAATGTAAATTAAATATTTTAAATAATATATATTTAAAATAATGTATATTATTTATGTATATAAAATATTTAAAAATAATGTATATAAGGAATGTACTTTGCCAAAACACCCACTTACAAATACACACACATACAAATTAAAAATCTGTTTTTGAAGGATATACACCAAAAACTAACAATGGCTAATTTGAGGTGAAGAGCTTTTTTTGAGGGTTTTTTTTCAGGGGGAGGAGTTTATGATATAAATCATAATATCATATATGTATATATACTTTTTTTACTTTACATTTTTCCTATACTGAATAGGTACTGCTTTTGTAGCAAGAGAAAATTATTAATTTAAAAATTTGAAAGTATAGTAACAGAAGAGTACATCAGATTAATAATCTGTAGCTAGAAGGAAAAGGTAGAAGACTGTGTCTGAGAAATCTGGAAAGTTTCAAGCCCAACTGCAGAAAAATTTTGAGGGAAAAATGGCTGTTGGTTAAGAGATTAAATTGTAATCTGTTTGAAAAGAACATATTAGGATAGAGAGGATGTCTCATGGAGACTAGAGAAAGAGTAAGAATTTGTCATCATGTCTCCAGTCCCTTTGAAGGGAAAGGAAACTCTAACAAGCTAGCTTAGGTGTCTTTCCACTTGACAGAAATAGTTC